TGGTCAGGCACTTACTCGCCGAGGAAGAGCACGGGGAAGCCGGGGAGTCGACCTCAGCCGCTGCAATCACCGAGAAGTCGTGGGGGGGGGGGGGGGGGGGGGCAGCTGGCGCGGGCGCGAGTGATGGTGGGAGCCTGCTGGCGCTGTGGAGTGCCAGCGTGGAGGGGTGGTGGAGCGGGAGGGTCCCCGGTGATATGACTGGGAGGCCTACGACGAGCTCGTTCGCATGGTAGAGCGCGCCGGCCTCCGCCTCCAGATGCCGGCGTTCTCATGGTGGTGGGACAACGCAGTCGTCGCCTCCCTCACCTTCTCCTGCATCGCCGGCCGGCCGTCGGAGCTCCTCGCCCCGGCGACCTCCTCCCAACCGCCTGCCGCCTGCCGGCCAGCCTAGCCCCAGACAGGCACAGAGAGAGGAGTGAGAGAGAGAGAGTGGAGGAGGAAGGGAGAGGAGAGGGAAAGAGAGCCACTCACGACGTGGCAGCCTGACATGTGGGGCCCACGTGGTTCCACGCTGACTCAGCAGCCACCTAGACCAAAATCGGGGTCAAAACCATCGAAGGACCTATTGTAACCGGTTTTGATTAGTTAAGGGACACCGGATATCTGGTTTTGCGGTTAGGGGACGATTTGTAACTCGATGACAAGTTGAGGGATCTTAGGTGTACTTTTTTCTTCCTCCCCTCCCTCTCTTTGGGCCGGCCCAATTGTTCTCCCTCTCCATCGGACCAAAGTCTGTTTCTCCTCCTCCGCGCGCCCCAGCCAGACAGGCGTGCTACCTCACGATGACAGGTGGGCCTCACCCATCATCCCCAACCTCCAGCTGCCCTCTCTCTCCGGCCGAATCCCTAGCGCCGGCAACCTCCGATTTGCCTCCTCCACTCACTGTTCCTCCAAATTGATTGCGGGAAATTAATCCCCACCTCATCCTCTCCAATTCCCCCATAATTTACCACTCCACCCCGCATTATTCGCGGTGGATTTTGATGGCGTTCATCAATGGTAAGCTCCACCATGGCCGTCGTCAATCTCCCTCCCCGGCGACCCTCTCGCTCCTCTCCGGCCTATAAAAGGGAGCCTCGCCTCCTTCTCTATCTCCACATACCGTCCGCTCGCCTCTCCCTCTCCTCCGCCGCGGCGCCGCTCTCTTCCTGCGCAGCGCCGTCGTGCAATTCTGGCCGCCCCTCGCCGGCAGTCAGGACCTCCTCGGACTCTGGAGACACCACCTTTGGCTTCGTCTCTTCCTCCTCTTCCCCGTCCACACCTCCGTCGAGCACGAGGACCACGGGAACGACGACGACGACCCGAAGCTCCCCGCCGTTTCGCCCTCACCGCTGGCATCACCTCAAAAGAACAGTAGTCGTTGAGCCTCTTTCCAGTTCCACTACAGCTTGACTTATGCATTTACTGTACATCACCTCCTGACTCCAATGGGCTATATTAGTTCTAATTTTCGCTTCTGCTTTGCAACTGTTTAAATGTTCAATCTTTATTCTTTGATCAATTGGTTAAGCAATCAACATTCCATCCGTACACTTCATCAATACTCCATATTCACCCTATCAACATTCCATCTATTTCTCGGCTGGCTTGACGACTCAACTAAATCCTTGCACTTGCAATTCCTTCATCGATCCTCAAGAATTCTACGTCATCAGAAACAGTATGAAAGTTATATCGCTCGATTCCCGGTATAGAGTGACACTTCCTAGTCCTGCTCTCCGCATCGTTCTTGCGCTGCCCGTAGCTATACAGAGGAGAGAAGGCACTAACCAGAAATTGTGTGCTTTAGAAGAAGCTGTGCCAACATGGGCCTCCTGAATATCTCCTTGACACATCCTTTACAGGCGTCTTCCAAGCTGACATTGTTGGCTATCATCTTCTGTACGTCCTGCAGCACAAACTCCTAAAAACCTGCATGCCCAGTAAAACAGCAAATTAATCAAGAGCAGGCACAATGTATATACAGACTAATATAAATGCAGACATGATCCCTACAATTTTTTTAATGATTATGAAAGTATCAAGAGTTTATTCGAGAAGATAGTATCAAGAGCTTAATTTGTCTGAATTTACTTTATCTACTACTAGCACTGTAACACACCTTTGGAGCCCTTACTTGCTGCCTGTGAATCAACATCCTATATATATCATTCATGATACCTCCTAGGCCTACAAGCTAAGGCCATCTCTGGCCATGTTTCCAAAAGGCTCTAGAAAATAGCAGACAGAAGCCTCTGTAAACAAAAACTGTTTCATCAGATTGTGAACAAAGTGTTTTCGACAGAAAAATTTCCAACCAGATGTCCAAATTCCAATAGCCTTCTGTATATATATCTTCAATGGGTACAAGTGGTTCAGGTCATAATTTATGAATTGATTATCTGAAGAAAAGTAACCTTCTCTGTTGCTGTCATATAATTTGACCAGTTTCTATGTCCTGTACATAGGTGTAAATGTATAATGGTTGATCAACAACTTATTCTGTCTTGATTTAATGTCCCTATTAATGAAGCACATTTGCAAAAGGGAAAAAAACACAGGCGAGCTTCATGCTCTAATGAGCTAGCTATATTACTAGCACAGTACTCTCGCATCTCTTGTATTGTCTTATCAACAATTGCAGAGTTAGGCCAGGACAATATATGGAAATGAATGTCATGCCAATCTTTTTTGTGGTTCACTGAAGGACATTGCATTTCAAGCTTGTCATGATCACTTGTAGAAAATGGTATTATGTATGAAAACACGCGCAATGGTCGAACTTACCAAATTACACTAACTTGTATGAAACACACAGAGAGGACAAAACTTACCTATAGTAAAATACTGCACCACTGTCAATTCAAGTAAGGTTAAGAACTCGTAGAAATTTTCACAGGTTCTGGAGTCATGTGTAGAACTACAAATTAAACCAAATGTAACAGCTTATAACATACGCAGTTGCAGACATATCAAGCTAACCATATAGATCAACATGAATAACATCGGGAATACTTCTAGAACAGTTAAAAAATATGGAGCCACCGTCGTGGCGTCCTGATAACGAATCTCACAATGCATAGCGAGATATTATAATATTGTGAAAAACATGGCAAAGATTAGTTCCAATTTTGAGGGAAAAAAGCAATTTAATTTTGGATGATTTTGAATGAAATTAATTCAACAAAATTTGATGAAATCAAATAAATCTCAAATTTTTGTTCCGTTGGAGAAAATCTGATCAAGGTTTCGGATACCAAAATCTCATGAGATATTGCAAATAGGGATAGGCAAAGATTAGCCGAACACTGAACCAAAGTAGTGATCTAATACGTTTTAAGTGTTTATTTTTGGTTGCTTGGTTTCTTGTCTGGTTGGTCTACAATATCTTCGAAACAGAATGGGCTGAAAAACTGAGTTACCCACTATTCCTAAGATTATTCTAAGCACTCCCTCTCATTCTCTCGCATCTTGATTGGTTAGTGGCGCATGGAGCGACCTCAAACAATTGTACTCATCCACTTCTTTAATGTTCATCCATCTTGGGAGACAGGATGGGCTAAAAAACTAAGTTGCCCACTTGTCCTAAGATTATTCTAATCACTCCCTCTCATTCTCTCTTGTCTTGATTGGTTAGTGGCGCATGGAGCGACCTCAAACAATTGTGCTCATCCATTTCTTTAACGTTCATCTATCTTGGGAGGCAAGCGTGCCTTAGTCGTGCCAATTTTTGTGATTTTTGCATACAGTTGGTATGAATGGAAGGAAGGGCTTTGCGGATCAACTTTTCCCAACAATATGGCAATTCAAGAATGTAAAATGTGCTCCAAAACAAAATATTTCAGGGCATCATATCAGTATTGTCAAAATGATATGTTTAAACAAGATTTTCTGAAAGGCAAGAATGCATTCCTGAAATGCTAGCTGAAATTAAGCAGGCGGCAATCAATTAGAATATGCTATCCTACATATTTCAGGTTATATCCATGTATGGTAAGCTCTCAATCACTGTCCTGCTCAGATGAATGGTAGCTACGTCCATCTCTGCCCACTGATGATCCTCACCAATGAAGATAAGAAAAAATCTCAAAAACAGCAATTAATCTGTGCGGTAATGTTTACACGAAATGATACATTGGTACTTAACAGAGAGATCGAGAACTAATTAATGACATGACATGAACACATGAGACATCTGTAGAGAACCAACAGTGCACACAGAATTGCATGAACAAACTAACGAGACGGGTGTACTGAGCGCCACTACTCGCATGAGCAACTTTTGTCGTGTGAACTATGAACTATTTATAGGCTGAGCATCAGGATAGTATTGCTTAGTATACCACATGATGGAGAGCTAGAGATGGAATGGCACACATTATGCCTAAATAGCGGCTGGAGCTGGATACCAGCAGGATAAGGAATCAAGGAAACAGATATCTGTCAAAGCATCCCTAACCCTAAGCCATGGCAATTGATGCAGAGAGAATCAAGGAACAGATATCTAATCGTAGCATCCCTAACCCTAAGCCATGGAAAATGATGCAGAGAGATGGAACTAATGGCATACTCCATGATGTCTAGATAGCTGCTTGGGAAGCATCAGGTTGAGAAGCTACTCGAGAAGTTGGACATTGGCACTCTGGGTCAAGTTGTGTGTACTCTATTTCACTATTAATTTGTTTTTTCTACTTTTTCTTTCATCCTTATGTGTGTACTGGATCTTTTGATTGATGCCATGACTTGCTTTTCCAAGATAATGGTTAAACTTTCTCTTATTATAATATTATATATGGGTACCGACAACAAAGAAGACACTGAAATCATATATCAACTTCAATATTATTGCTATAACCAAGAGAGGTTCCCCAGAAACACATCTACCACTGCACACACGCAAAGAACAGATGGACATTGATTTCAGATTCAGAAAGAAACAAGAACAAACTGACACGGGATGACTCAAGCAAATTAGCTGTAGTTTGCAACCTACTGTGTGATAAAAACCACAAAACAAGAGCTGAACCAATGCATTTTCATGGGATAATTAGGTTCCAAACAGTAGCCAGAGGATTACGAGGCTAACATCAGTAGAAAGTTTAACATACAACTCCAGATTAGAGCCATCATAACCATCAACAGTACGAGTGAGTCAGTGACAGAGTTATGCTGATTATCTAATGTGAGAAACTGAGAAGAGATCCTGGTAGGGAAAAGCAAAGGCTAGTAAGTTCAAACCAATATGATCTTCCTAGAAACTGATTTTCCTACCATTACTCTCACTACCAGCAGAACACCAAAGTTTGCAGCCTTACGAGCCATTAAAAATTACACACCGTCCCACAAAGGAGATGGCTTACTATCATTACTAGTCAGGAATTCAGGATGTTACCCAGCAAAAAAAGAAAGGAATTCAGCATGTTATAGGGCAGTCAATTCCGAAGAACTCGTATAATAGTGCACCTGATACTAGGTACTGGATTTAGCATGAAAATTCTCAAATATGCTTTATATATCCATCGACCATGTAAAAATTTCCAGATTGGCAGTTGACAGATGTTATCTGGCATTCTTCTAAAAGAACTATAATCCATATTGATTGAAACAAGAAATGGGATCAGCATGAGTAACAAAATAGACCAAACCGGCTTCAACATCTGCATTCAAAGGGATCAGTAAAAGACAAATCTTGGACATGCTCAATATCTATAGGACATTCAGGATCTGCATGATGGTGGCATCTATCAGTGGTAAACTTGAAACGCGCACATCTCGAAGCCCTTTTGTCGAGCTGAAGCATCTTATGTTGTTTTGCAACAAACCCATCATAGTAATCTTCAGACTTTACCACAAATTTCATAGACTCTAGCACTTTACCATTAAGTACAAAGAACTGGGCAAAGTCGATTTGTGGCTTGGTTCCCCGGTAATTTTCCAACTCCACTGTCTTCAGACGGATATCAAGGATTTTGATAAGAGTCTGGTATTCACAACGCCAATAATTATTTCCAGCAGATAGACAACACTGAAGAAAGACAGAGAACAAAACTTAAACACTTTTTTTAGGAGCAACAACAAATCGATTATGAGTACATTAAACTCTCAGTGAAAAATAATTTACCTTCAAGTACAATTTCTCCAAGCATGGAAAGCATCTCATCAAGTCAATCACCTTAGCCAGATTAAGAACAAACATATTGATTGCTAAAATCCTCATAGTGCGCACGGCCTCTGTCAACCTAACAACACTCACTCCCTTCATAAAACATGTGACATAACATTACTAAAGGCCATCCATCCATAAGTTGAGATAGATATGAAATTGACCTACAAAGTTACCTTGACAACAGTTGTAGTGCCAAACATGATCCTTGGGCCAAACCATCGATCTGTAAGGCAACCAATAGTCTCCAGCTTCGGCGCGGAAATTACCGATAATCGCAGGTTATTGTGCACTGCAAGATCGAGCAACTTCTCGAGAAGAGGGGCATCCTCGACGATGATTTCCTCCAGCTGCGTCTGCCGCGGCAGCGCTGCTATCCGACGACGCGCAACCAACACACCCAAGCTTCTAAGGCTAGGCGAGTTGATCCGAACGCGACGGAAGCCGACGCTGCGAGCCAGCAGCAAGCACTCCAGCAGCGGGCAGCGGGCGATCATGGCGTGCAGCGAGGCCTCCGTGATTGTGACGTCCTCGAGCCCGAGATGCTTGAGCCGCAGGAAGCGAAGCTCATGGACGGTGGTGTGCTGGAGCTCGCACCTGCTGATGGTGGCGATGTGGAGGGTATAAGAGAATCGGAAGAGGGATACCGGTGGAGGAGGAGGCGGCGATGGTGGCGGCGGCGCACCGCCGCGGTTGCTGAGGAACTCGAGCTCCTGAAGGTTGTCGACGGCGGCGGATCGGAGCCAGGTATCCACGGTGTCGCGGCTGCTGTCGGCGGGGACGCAGAGGCAGCGGCATGGGCCCGGGTGGGCGGAGAGGACGGCGGAGATGACGCCGGCGACGGCGACGGCGAGGGCGTTCCCCTTGTTGTGGCGGCGGAGGGGGAGGCTACGGTAGTCGAGGCGGAGCGGCGTGGAGCGCCAGAGATGGCGCCACCGCTTGGCGAGGACCTGCGTGGTGCAGGCTTCCCTGGTGGGGAGGCGGGCGATGATGTCGCGGAGGATGTCGTCCGGGAGGTCCCCGATGAGGTCGCCGGCGGCGGCCTCCTCATCACCATCATCTTCTTCCTCCTCCGCCTCCGTCCTCCTCCTCTTCGGGCTGCCTCCTCCTTCCTTTTCTGGCGGGTTAACTTCTCCATGGCTCTCGTGCGCGACCAATACGGATTTCTTGACATGGCCCATGGCCGGCGCGTCGCGTGGCGGCAGCCGGCGGCGTGGGATGCGGCGGCGAGGATGAGGGAAGGAGGCGAGGGGGGAAGACGGGGAGATCCGTGAGGCCCAAGAAAACAGCTTCGTCTTGTTCGTTGTTCCACGTTCGAATGGGCCAAGCGCCGCTAAATGGGCCAGTCTTAGAGATTCTATTAACCCAGTTATCTTTTGGATTCTTTTTTATTTACTAAAAAAAAATATCCATGCGTTGCAATGGGTGGAGATTATTTTAATTTTATTATTGTTACTAGAAAAATGCCCATGCGTTGTAACGGATGAAGTCTATTTTAATCTTATTATTGTTATATGGTTTAGTTAAGATGAAATTCACTGTGTGAGTTCGCTTGGATATATATATTTTTTGAAATTCATGAGTTGCAGTTAGAAGTCTAATTGTCTTAGCATGCGAGTTTTTTTAAACAGATTTCTTATATGATTCCTTCTGTATTATCAAAAGTGAACGATCTTAAAAACCAACTCAAATACGGATGTGTATTTCTAAAAGCAAACGAACTTAAAAACCGACTCATACACGGACGATGTATCAAAATACCAGCAAAAACATCCTCAATTTTTATAATAGTAGAGATATGATTTAGTTAAGGTGAAATTCACTGTATTTAATTCGCTTGGATATATATTTTATTAGAAAATCATAAGCTACAATTAGGAGTCCGATCATCTCAAGTTAGCATACGAATTTTTATAAGAGATTTCTTATAGATTCATTCTGTATTTCCAAAAGCGAACTATCTTAAAAACTAAGTCAAATACATATTTGTATTTCCTAAAATGAAGAAACTTAAAAACTGACTCGTAAACGGATGGCGTACCAAAGTACCGGCAAAAACATCTTTGAAGTTAACAATCTTTATATCAAAATTGTAGAGCTCAAGGAGATGTTCAACTTTGAAGTTAACAAGTTTTCCATTTAAAATTGTTTAGGAATCAAAACGTTGCTTACAAAATCGCCAAACTATTTTAACAAAATCTCATGCTTCAATTTCAAACAACATCGGACTTAGAACGAAGATAACAGTTGTTAACGCACGTGTCTCTCTAAATATGTACTTCCGCCATCTATAAGTTATAGTAGTCATGCCATGTAGATTTTAAAAGAAGATGCTAATAACATGACCAAAAATCGTTATATTGTTATACATTATGAAACTATTAGTTTGACATTTGGTTCATATCAAACTATTGTTTGGGTCTATATTTATGCTATGTGCTCAATGGACAGCGACTAGCTAGCGTGTGCCTTATGTAACGAATAGAAAAATCAAGATTAAAATCTTAAGTACATAAGCCAAATAAAAAATGAATGAAATGGACCTAAGGGGACATCCAAAATCACGACATGCAGAAATTATATTTTTCTTGTACTCTATATAATGTAATTGCGGGAATATGCTCTATTTTCTATGGATTGTACTTCTAAGAGATGATGGTACATCTGAATAATGAAAAGCGATGTTATTATTTTCTTTATGATGTAGTGTTGTATTGTGTTTTATTTATAAATTTCATTTGAGGTCATATATCAATAAGGTTGTGTTCATTTATTGAGGTTCCCAACGACCACCACATCGTTTCTGCGCGCATGCTTCCCGGACTATTAAATGGGGTATTTTTAAAAAAAAATCTATATAGAAGTTGCTTAGAAAATCATATTAAATCATTTTTAATTTTGTTTAGCTAATACTTAATTAATCATATGTTAATTGGTCGTTTCGTTTTGAATCATGAGGGAGGAATTTCTTTTGGAGAACACAGCCTAAATATATCGGGGAAAAAAAGATGGAAGCCAAACAGATAGAGAGGAAGATATTAGGAAGAAAAAATTGAAAGGTGAGTCGAGGTGCACATATCATAGAAAATAATTTTTTGCTAACATAAAATTTTAAAAGTAATTAAAGACAATGGAATTGCAATGTAGCGTATAGCACGAGCATATTATATTTTAAATCCTCCACTGTATAGTTACTTCTAATACTAAAAGAGTTACTTCTACGATTTGAATAAATTGCATTTAAATATTTGAATATATTTAATATGAAACTCTTTTTGTTATATATTTTGAGTGGAGTATGGCAGTTCAAACAGATATTAAAAATTATACATGTTCTAAAAGATATAAATTGTCAAATGTTTCAATAAAAAATAGAATAGTGTAACCCCCTCATAGCTAATGTTTGATGTTTGGCCTCTGTCCTAATCCTATCTTACTTAATCCTATCTTACTGTAAAGTTATAACCCACTAATTCTAAAGCTCAGCATGCAAACATACCACCTCATTATCCACTAGCAATAATTACATAAAAAATTATACAAGCGTGCAACATCGTCTATAATTGATTGAATTCTACAAATTAACATCCAATCATCTTCCTTCACAATATTTTCACAGTATTTTCAACATATACATATCCGTTATTTTTATAATAATTAACGTATATTCATCCATATAATCAAAGTTCAGGATATCATATTTCATCTACAATCTCATACATAGTATATTAAATTTATTTCTCTTTCTTAATATAGTTTGACAAACCAGTTTTATTTATTGTTAATAACTAATATAATTTTTTACTTTTAACTAAATTTTTTTAAAAAGTTAAAAGTTACTTTAATTTCAGCAAAGCACAGGGAATCATAAATATGTGTGGCCGTACCGCACGCTGTAAAAATACTCTTGCACCAGCATCGCATCCGAAACCGATCGAACGGAGAAAAACGGCATCATATGCGTCTAGACTAAACAGTGCACTAATTAGATTTTACCTTTTAAAATCTTGTGAAAATTTTTTGTCTACATCCATGGGTCGCATGGATATTTGTTAATCCTCTATCTATCTGTACCTTGTACCGTACAATTAACTGTATTGGAGTATAATTATTCCTGTATATGCAATAGCAATTTCCTCCTAATCTCAACCTTCAGCCACAAAACACCAGGTGCTAACGCCGTCTATTCCTCCAGCCGGCAACAAATTCCAGCAGCCAACAGTATCGGACGAGGCCAAGAACCATGATCAGAAGAGGCTACAAGCCTAATTCTGAGTCAAAACCAAAGCACAAATCCTTGCAGCAATCTACGTTTGTACCAGACTGAAAGTCTCAAAAACACAGGTAAATGTAACAACCACTGACCATCATCAGGCGAAGATCACGGCCACTCACCGTTCAAGGGCACAGGAATGATCCCCTCTCCACTCAGTCGTTGCCTACATGTTTTTTTTTTGTTTTTCGTCGCGACCTGAAAGGCCAACTTAGCCCTTAGGATTGATCGCCGAAGTCGCTTCCACCGTCATTTTCGGTGCCGGTGCTCCTGTGGCTCTCGGAAGGCTCCGAGGTGGCCCCGCCAGCGTTCTGGTGATCTGCTCCGCGGTGCATTTCGCCTTGCAGAAGCTGAGGAATGCCATTCACAACGCCAGGCCTCATAACCATCTGACCGCCGAACGAGAGCAGCTGGGCTTGCTGTTGCTGCAGCTGCTGCTCCTGCATCTGCTGGGGCGTTAGAGGGGTCCTGGGGGGGAACATTGGCACCTGCGACATGTATTGCCCCCCTAACCCCGGCGATGCACCATGCGGCACCATCTGTTTGCGGAGATAAAATGAGTATATGCAGAACAAATGATGTTGTGTAGATGTATGGAATATTACGAACCTGGGGACGGCTTATAGTGGTCTGCGGTTGAGTATCAGCAATTGCAGCCAAGTACAAGAGATTCTTCTGAAGCTGCGCTTGATACCTGAAAAATATCATTGGGGATAAAACTACCATCATTAAATGATTTTCTCACCATCTATTCCAGAAGGAAGTCCATAGTCACATTCATATAGGCAAATAGGTTTAGCAATATGAAGAGCATCTTCAGTAAATATATCAAATAAATTCATAACTACATGAAGTGTAAAGGAAAGTAAATTGGATTAATTATCACATATTAACTTATTAAGCCCCGCCTAATAATTCATAAATGGAAACAAGGTGAGCACATATATAAAATAAATTCATTAATACAAGCACTGCAATGGGAACTTGGAAAGTAAATTGGATTAATTATCACATATTACCACCAATACTCCTAAAGAAACACAAATGTGAGGTCGGTAGGTGACTAGTTAGCGACACATTCCATGGGTGCACAGGTGACGTGCATGGTGCATAGGTAATAGCATGCATGCTAATGGCACTAATAGCATACTAAATATTGTTCATGTTATGTTGACAGCAATACTGTTCTTGCCAGTCACAGGGCAAAAGCCAACATGGTTACAATCTAAAGTCAAAGAAAAAAAGAAACGGGTAAGACCAAATAGCTAGGAATCATTTTACACAATTAACTTCATGGAATTAAAATGACAAAATGCATATTGACAGTTCAAAATTGTTAGGTGCTGCACAAAGCATGTATTTCCATGTTCCTAGCAAGATCAAATGTGTTGTTTTCCATTGATGTTTACCAAGGAGAATAATCATCTGCCACATAGAACTAACAGTTAGAGCTATTTCAGAATGTTGCTTTAACTTGAATTTTATTCCGACGGATTATGAAGGGTGATTCGGGCTTTATCATCACGGCATAACATGATAGTTCCCTCCCACTTCCCAGTTGGTTATGGAGATATCAAGTGACACCAGATGAAATAAGATTTCATAAATTTTAACATGATGCTTGCCAGCTTGACACTCAGCCATTGCAAGTGGAAATTCCTAGGTATTTAGCATGCTGGTAATTTGCTTCGTTTGCACCCAAAAAAAAAGCAATTGATCCTTTGGGCAGCAGAAGACACAAGATGCAAATCAAACATGGAATATATTGGCTGAAGAGTGAGGATGTACATATAGTTGCTAATGATGATACATCTTGCATATTCTTTGAAAGATACACGGTCTTCGAATACATGCTTTTATTGCATTGAATATAAAGAACCACTATAGGCAACGCTACATAAACTAGTCATGTGAGAACCAACCAGTTTATATTCGAAATTGTATGCCAATATGTGTTCAGTGTATAGCACTGTAATACTTCGTTCACCGTAGTGCATGGATTGTGTCAAAATCCACACCAGTACACGTCCCGAAGAGTCAGGAGATGAAGGTCTATACTCTATGTAAATCTAAGTAAAATTATCATAAAAAAACCCTGACTTATATAATTAGATACCAAAAAACAGTATTATAGTCAGATAATTAACAATTTAACATATCATCTAAAAGTTTGAAAATAGAAATTTAATCAAACATTATCATTTAAAAAACAGATGTTATCATATTTGCTGTCTACAGTTCATAGAGTGTTCATATGAACTTTGCATATGCCACAATGCCAGGACCCTTCTAGGATTAATTTTGTATAGTGGCTCAAGCCTCAAGATGGTACAAAACAAGAACTCAGCTGCAGTTTATAACTCGTACTGCACAAAAAGCCATACTTGAATGATCCATGTTTTGCTGTTTAGCAATACTGTTTATTCTGTGTTGAACCATCCAAGCATGGTATGCTTTCATCAGTGACAAGAGCTACATAGATCTTCTAAATATTAAACCTAACGGCTGAGAAAGAAACCAGGCCAAAATATCATTGGATATCGCAGCAGTTTTCAGTTGCTTGTTTATTCAATGCATAAACACAAATTTGAAATAACAACAGCAGAGTGGCAATTTCATTGTTATATACGGCAGCACAATAAATGAATAATTGTATACAATTAACTAATGGTGAGGGACTGAGTGTAGATAACAAAAAAGGAAGATATTAATGTTAACGAGAAATTATTCAACAATGCAATTACGAGACTACTAAGCAGGATGAATTAATATTAACACACAAAAAGGATCATGTCATAACGTAAAATCTCATAAAAGACCGTTTACATACTGAGCACATTCTGCCAACTTTCCCAGATTCTGATTTTCCAAAATAGCCAAAATAAGCTGCTTGTTTTCATCCAGATACTGCAAAAATGAATTAAGACTGTAAGGGAAAATGGTTATTTACAACAATGAAACCACAGAATCAGTAAATGCAAATGGGCGAACCATGTGAAATATATAAGGAACAAGATAGTAATTTTAGAAATGCACTATTACAATTTATGCAGTTTGCAGGAAACATAAGGATTAAAGTCAGCACAAGAGATTATTTAGTCATCTGAAAGTCAAGTTACAATGCTAGTAGGTGCAGGGCATTAATCCAAGTATAATAAGGAAAATATCATTCAGACAAGTATGCAAAGTGAAAATGTATGCCAGAATATGACCTGTATAAGCATGAGCACCCTAATAATATGGATTGCAAAGTAAAGTGGTTCAAAAAACGGCCCCAAGCTGCTATTTTATTCATCTTAGCAGAGAGACATTAGTGCGCTATTTTTAGCTTATTCTAGTACAAGAGAGCAAACCATGACCCAATTTAAGCAGAATATGCATCACCAGCCTTAAGAAGAAAAAAGCATGCATGTCTGAATCTAGTGGGAGCACACAATACAAATCTGCCATTTAGACATGAAGACATGAACTGCTAGGTGATCACAGCTATTAGCTCCAAAAGAAAAGAGCAACGCCTGAAAGATTGGAAAATTAACAAACGAGACAGAAATCAACTAACAAAGCGATGAGTTTTTTCTTTAAGAATTTAAGTGAAAGTTGATATTGTTGAAAGTCAGTTAACATAACTTTTTTTTCTCCGTTGTAAGTTTTAAACTACATCTAAAGCCCACAAGGACTGGAGTATACCTGTACTTCAACAAATCCCAATAAACCCAGTCATCCACGAACAGAAACATAACTAAAATCTGCTATAGAATAGCATACTCTACAAAAGAACAGGACAATCGCACTAAGACAAAGAAATGGTTCCATACAAGTGCCAAGTTGATATTAATGCAGGAAAATGTTTCAGGCATAGAATAATACTTTATAGACAATGACTGATGACTGTCATGATGTGAATACTAAAGAACACATAAAAAAACATAAGTTCAGTTCCGGCTGGAGTGGTCATGGATGATGGATAGTTCCATGTCGAGTAGAAATATTGCAATCAATAAACATAAGCTACACAAGCAAAGATTCAAGCCCAATCTAGTCAAAAGTTGTACTCCAGGTGTTCATAACTTAGTTTTTTTTTATCACAAATGATACATCTTCTCCAATAAACCGAGAACAAGTCAGCATATCTCCTATCAAACCAACATCATCACCATATAATTACAGATCACTCTACCGCCCGGATAACCCAAACGAGTCGTTCTTTATCGAGTCAGATGACGAGCACGCCAACCATGCGGTGCTCACAACACCAACTTCAACCAATGCCCGTCAAATACTCTTCAAATCACATCAACTAAGTTGAAACTAATCAAAAAAGCCAGAATCTTTACCAATCCAATATCCCTAAGACCCTAACCCACCCCTAATCGAATCGAACGCTGGCAAACCTAGCACCATTCGAGGAGGCCGGGCAAAAATAAAAAAAGAGATCAAATCTTTTGCCCCCCAAAAAAACCCTCCCAAGAAGCGAGGGCGGCGCACCCGAACCGGGGCCAAGAACCGGAAGAGAAAAGGGGGGGGGGGGGGGGGGGGTGGGCACAAAGGAGGCACCTTTTGGATCTGCTCGGTGGTGATTCCGGCCGTCGGCGGCGCCTGCGCGGGCATCGGCATCGGCTGCTGCTGCATCGCGTGCGGCTGCGGCGGCTCACGCTTCCACTTCTTCTCCCCCTCTCTGTGGTTTATGGCGTTGGAGAGGAGGAGGAGAGGGGTTTGGACTTTGGAGGGTTTGGGAACAGCAATGGAGCGAACATTCGCTCCCTAGTAATCTCGCGAATGGATCTGGAAGGAGAGGGGTTTGAAGGCTTTCCCTTTTCATCTCCTCCTAGGATTAGGTGCAATTACTAGTATACCCCTCTTGCTCAAAAGATTTTAATAATTACTACTACTCCGTCTCGAAAGGAATCCAATCCTAACAACGAATCTGTGTCTAGATTCGTTGCTAGGATTAAGTTTTTTTTAAGGACGAAGAGGGTATATTATTGATTGATTAATTACGCGTGCAAACCTCTAGCACACAAGTAGACGGAAGTGAGCAATAAATCATATGTGTCCTCGTTAAATTTGTATTGGGCAATATTTTCGTTAATTCGTATTGAAAACGTACATGTGTGTTAATTGTAGTTCTAGTGTGCGAAGGCGTGCATTTATGACTTCAATGCAATGTATTTAGTGCTTTTACTCTCTTGCTCTAAAGTTGGAGTAGGAAAAATTGAAAAAGAACGTGTTTGCTTTCATCTCAATATGTTGTTATTGAGTTCTAATTTCAATCCAATACTATCTCCGTTCTGTTACATATTGTAATTCTTAGGTGTTTTAGTTATGTTCTGAGTCAAAAAAAAATTTCTAGTTTTGACCAACTTTATAGAAAAATATATTAATATCCAGCGCTATCGTTGCCAAGACATAGCATCTTTTTTCCGAACTAACCAGCTATATTAGCAATATGGTCAATTGATTTGTACCCAACACTCCTAATATTTCACTCACCTCGGTTCTGGCAAATCTTGGGGTCGACTTTTGGTTAAATAATCCATGTTGATTCCATGAGCGCTTGAGTGTTGTTTGGTGCACTAAAAACATGAGGTTTGGTTATGGCATGATGATTTTTAAATTTGTTACATGTGAGTTCTAGATAGTAATAGTCTTTTCTTATAGTGCTTCTCTAGTTGAATAGATTGCTTGGATAAGTCTCACCTAGCGAAAAGATGATGGACCTATTGGAGTGACTATAGTTGATGATCCAAACATAATTGGATGGTGGTTCAAACGGAATATTTGTATCCTGGTTTGTCCTTGACCAAGAGCCATAACCATTATGTTAAGGCAAATTTTGTTAATGATGAAAGTTATATAATCTTGTATTCACTTCTATATAAATCATTTCTACCGTTGTTAAGGATAGCACTCTAGTTTGCATTTGGGATTTGCATGATCTTTAGAGTCTATGGACACATCATCATGTTGTTTTAACACGGCTATCAATTATGTCACTAGTTGGTGTAGTCTCTTCTTTTTTCTAAACATCGCAGAGGTTTACATACAAGGTTAATTGAATTTTTCAAACTTCAAGAGTGCAAGTTACAACATAGTAGTCACTCATTATCTTTTAGGAAAATATGGACATAAAGTTCACCGATTACAATTGCGGGTTACACAATAGCACACTTAGATAGCTTTGTAAGTTACATCGTTAGACATAGATATAAAGCTCTCAAGCAATATGTAACCTATATTTGATAAGAGGAGGTAAGAGGAGGATAATAAATTCGACCTTAGATTAAAAAATTGTTGCTAGTAAATTCAATCTCAGACCTCAAAGTTTATTATGTCACATATTTTCAAGTGGAAAAAAGTTGTCAACCATTAAAAAAATAGAGTAAGGGTAGTAGCTTAATAATACCTTCTCACGGGACCCCTCTCCCACTAAAAACAAAAGTAGTGTAGAACCATGCAACATTCCTCATGGCTTCACACATCAAATGGTTTTATTTTGTGTTGAAATAACCAAATGTTATATGGATAAGCAAATTCCAGTGGGACTACCAAGTGTGCTACATGCTCATGTAATTTAACTCGGGTAACATAAACTCTCTCTCAGTCGCGCTTTGTGCAAGCGCTAGCATAACTATATATATGAGTGGGCGATTGATCTTAACAATTACATGGGTGGATCCGTGAGAATACTCCCTTTGTCATCAAATATAAGGATTTTTAGGCTTTTAAACAAATATTAAGGTTGAGTAAAAAAGACTTATATTACTCATTTAGCGAGGGATGGTTGGAGTTGAGACGGTAGTTGAGAGTAGGATGAAAATAAATTTTAATGAGAGGTTAGATTCATGGGGGCAAATAGTACTTTATGAATCCTTGGATAAATTTCAAACACTTGGTATCCTACAGTGTAATTTGAAAACATATGAAATCGCACGTAAACATAGATATATTTTTAAACTCAATATTGAGTCAAGCATATGTAGGACCCAACATCATGTTAATCTTGCCACAAACTGCTTGATTATGGATAATCATAGAGGTTAATAAATACCATATGAATTCAAGGTTGAGGCTTCATTTATTTATTTTTCTTTATTTGATCAGCTGATTAATTAACCAAATATAGTGTTAAAAAATTAGAACAAAGGTGTTCTAGAAGCTTCTTGATTGCTCCAAATGGATTCCACTCTCATAGATCATGAGCCTCTTGATTGGTACAATAGTATATGATCAAAGATGTTTTTTTTACCAGTTACATCCAATGGTCCTTGATATTTTAGATGATGTGGCTCATTCTCCATTGAGATAGCTTGCTGCTTTCACCTATTAAGATTGGTGAAAGTGTGCTATCATAATCTAAAAACAATGCAACTATCTTTCTATGCATGTTGGTTGTGATTTCTCTGAATGATACCAAAGCTGAAGGGTATTCAACATACAATAAAAGGGAATATTTTTAATATAAATGATATGTAAGTCAAGGAATGAATTTCATTTTAAAATGTTTCATTTTATATTCAAATTATCTACCAAACATTTTACAAGACCATATAAGATATATCTTGTGCTTTTGCCATTTATATTGAGCTCCACCTTGCTAGTAATAAATTACTATACCTATTGTTTTTCTATTTAACATGACATGAATGAATGAACAAATAGCCACATTAAAATAACATTATGTTAACAGGGGCATGTGCTCCCATTCTTTTCTCTCCATTAAATATTATTGGGTCATAAGGGGCAATATGCCCCCTCTAATTGGGCCAATAGCAATATGTAACGACTTATCTCGATCCCAAGAGTGAGAAGAAGGAACTCCTTAGCAATATGACGAGGATGTAGACTATCTGACAAGATAGATTTTACAATTTTTATGGAGGTGTTAACTTCTTGTCTTTAATTAATTTGATTTATTTATCTGGGAATATCTTAGGAAAATCATTTTAGAAACTAGAGGGAAAAAGTATGTCTCTATCAATAATTTACGAATGTATTAAAAATTGCAACGGAATTGCATCTAAAATGTCTATGAACTACAAATATTTATGTCAATTTGCAAAGTGTCTCTAGGAAATGCATATGAATTGAACTAATTTTTTTGAGAGCCATTTTGATTATTTGAAATATATATCTATCAAAAATTTCTAAATATTATAGTTGTTGTAGTGTAAATTCAAAAATTATAAAAACAATATGAAAACTATAAATGTTATCTTATCCGAAAATGTTGCAAGAAATACACACAATTTTTTCTAAACTTTCAGAGTCAACCCTTCATGCCATAATCTCTATCACGTGACTCCCAACGTATTAGAGTTCATTTAGTTGCACAAACTCAAAACACCTCAATAGGAAGGACCAAACATGTAAAATCATTCAACCAAATATAATAGCATTTGAGTATAATCGATAATTCATACCTTATTATGGTATCTCCTAGTTATTATTGTAGTTGGAAATAATTTCATAGCATCCCTCACGGCCTCATGCATCTACGGCCTCATGCATCTAATAGATGAAAATTGAGAATAAACAAGTGTTACATGCACCAACACTCATTTGATTTATCTCAGGGGACATGAATGGTATATCCAGATTATTTTATGATTAGCGAAAATGTATCAAATATAAGAGCAATCTTTTTGCTTTGAGCATTGAATTTTATTTCATCAAATGAAGACAAAATAGAAGAACATTGGGCCGATCATAAACAAAAATATGAAAAAATTTATAAATAATTTTATTGCACAACTAAAAGCTAAGGATTTAAGATATGAAATCTACAACTGTTGGAACATAGTAATAAATTATGACAAGATTACCGTGCAAAATAATATGCATAGGCTTATACCACTTTTTCTAGACGACTAACCATAATACTGCGTTAAAAGGGGCATGTGCCCCCCTCTTTCGGATACTAGTAGCATTATATTAAAAGTGGTTAACTTATGCCTATAGATGATTAAGGGTGTGTTTGGTTGGGCTGTGGCTTTTGCAAAAGCAGCTGTGGGCTGTGACATTTTGAAAAGTAGCTAAATTAGCTGTGAGAAAGCCAAAAGCTCATTTGGTTACACAGGTGGCTTTTGGAAAAGCTTCTCCCCTGACGAGTGGACCACACATGTCATGTGGGAAGGCGGCTCGCCGGAGTGGGCAACCGAGGCCAGTCGGGGCTGCTCCTCCTCGTCCGCAAGGAGCGACGCGCTGTTGGGGACCGAGGCGCTGCTCCAAACATCGATCTCCGGCACCGCTCCATGGTCTGCGAGATCGAGGAAGGCTCGTTGTCAGCTTCGTGGCCGGCTCGTCGTTAGCTTCGTGGGCGGCGGTGGTGCCGTATAAGTCCGGCATCATGCCTCGGGGTGTGAGGTCGAGGAAGGCGGAGGAGAGGCACAGGGAGTGGTAGTACGGCGACGGTGAGGCGCACAACGATGTCATGCAGGGAGGCAGCGCCAGCTGCCTTGTCGCCACCTTGGCCAGCGCCAGCACCGGTGACACCACCAGCCGGGCGCGGAGGCGGCGTCAGGCGGGGAGGAGGCGGCGCAGCGTCGGGCGTGGTCGGAGAAGGGTGCGGCGTGGGGCGAGGAGGAGGCGCCGCTGGCGTCGGGCGAGGAGGGCGGCACGGCGTCGGGCGGGGAGGGCGGCGATCGGCCGGCCAGAGGGTAGGGGCGGCGCACAAACCTAGATGCGCCGCTCCACCCCTACTGCGGCATGCGTTTGAGAAGCGAGAGGAGACGGGAATAGATTAGCGAACCGTTTTTTTTTTCATAATGGCAGAGGTGGGTAATTTTTTCCA